TGTGCTGGGATTAGGTCCTAAAATCAGGGCTTTACACTCTTTCTCTGCTTTTCAGTCCAAGGATGGTGCTCTACCACTTGAGCCATGCTTCCACTTTTGACTCTTTGTGGGCTAATTAAACATAAGAGTCTGGAAGATTTGTCTTCCCATGCTAGTTTTGAACTGTGATTCTCAGATCTCAGCCTACTGAGTAGCTAGGATTAAGACGTGAGCCACCAGCAACCAATTTACTAATTTACTTTCTATCTCTGTGAATATTTTCCTAATTTGTTTTTTGGTCAGTCATGGGGCTTGAACTCTGGGACTGGGCGCTGTCCCTCAGCAGTTCAGCTCAAAGCGAGTGCTGTACCACTTGAGCCACAGCACCACTTCTAGTTTTCTGGTGGTTTATTGGAGATAAGAGTCTCACGGACTTTCCTGCCCGGGCTGGCTTTGAACCTCAATCCTCAGATCTCAGCCTCCTGAGTAGATAGGATTAGAGGCATGAGCCACCAGCACCCAGCTCCCTAATTTTTTTAACTTTGGCAAAAGTTAAAATTAAATATTCCCAGGGCTGGGAAGGTAGCTCAGTGGTAGAGTGCTTGCCTTGCATGCATGAGGCCCTGGGTTCAATTCCTCAGCACCACATAAGCAGAAAAAGCCAGAGGTGGTGCTGTGGCTCAAGTGGCAAAGTGCTAGCCTTGAGCTGAAGGGCTGAGAGACAGTGCCCAGGCCCAGAGTTCAGGTCCCACGACTGACAAAATTAAATATTCCCATCAGTCATTTAGGATCTGTAAAGATCACAGTTGGTGTAGCTTTAAAAAAAAAATTAAGTGGCTAGGAAGTTGGCTCAGTGGTAGAGTGCTTGCCTTGCATGCATGAGGCCCTGGGTTTGAGTCCTCAGCACCACATAAGCAGAAAAAAGCCAGAAGTAGTGCTGTGGCTCAAGTGTGGGGCACTAGCCTTGAGCTAAAGAGCTGAGGGACAGAGCCCAGGCCCAGAGTTCAGCCCCCACAACTGGCAAAAAAAAAAAAAAGTTAAATACTTATCACTGAGACTGATACATGCCATGTGCTTTCTTTTTTGAGACAGACTTTCATTGTGTAGTTCACACTGGCCTGAAACTCAGACTCCTCAGGCCTCTCAAGTGCTAGAACTGCACTATGCCAAGATATAGTAAATCATTCTCTAAGCATGAATATGTGTATACAGGCAATGTGTGTCTGCATGGGTGATGGATGGGTGGATGGATGAAGGAAGGAAGGAAGGAAAGAAGGAAGGAAGGAAGGAAAGAAGGAAGGAAGGAAAGAAGGAAGGAAGAGAAAGAAAGGAAGGAGAGGAGGAAAGAAAGAAAGAAGATGAGTGGGTGGATGGAAGGATGGGTGGTAGGATGAATGGATGAATGGATGGATGGATAGATGGGAAAAGGATAGATGGATAGATGAAGGGATGGATGGATATATGGAAACAAAGGATGGATGGATGGGTCAACAGATGAGTGTATGTATGTATGGATATATGTATATATGGATGGATGGATGGATGGATGAGTGGATTGTATATAGTAGTTAGATGTAATATAAACCCACAAACACCCACTAACTCCTCTGCCCTTGAGGGGATTTGGGCTATGAGCAGCATGGGGATTCTTCCTTCTGGGACATTTGCCCTCTAGTGGGAAAGAGAGGCCTTGCACCACTTGCTGCTTCAGAGCCGAATGCAAGGGGATAGCTGGAACAGGGTTGTCAAGATACATATACAAACCTGGAGAAGGCGGGGATGCTACGCTACCTCAGGTGGGGTGGGGTGAGGTTCAGTGGTACAGTGCTTGCTTCGTGCGCACAGGGCCCTTGATTGCAGCACCCCAAAAACAAAACAACAAAAAGCTATCAGGGCCAGACACTAGTGGCTCACACCTGTCATCCTAGCTGCTCAGGAGGCTGGTATGAGGATCACAGTTCCAAGGCAGCCTGGGCAGACAACTCCGAAAGATTCTTAGCTCCACTTAACCAGAAAAAAAACTAGAAATAATCCGGGCACTGGTGGCTCACGCCTGTAATCCTAGCTACTCAGGAGGCTGAGATCTGAGGATTGCGGTTCAAAGCCAGCCCGGGCAGGAGAAACTGTGAGACTCTATCTCCAATAAACCACCAGAAAACCGGAAGTGGTGCTGTAGCTCAAGTGGTAGAGCATTCGCGTTGAGCTGAAGAGCTGAGGGACAGCCCCCAGGCCGAGTTCAAATCCCATGACCGACAAAAAAAAACTAGAAATGGAGGTACAGCTCAAAGGGTAGAGCACCAGTCTTGAAAAAACAAACCAAGTGAGAGCTTGAGGTCCTGAGTTCAAATCCTAGTACTGTCCCCCATCCCCCCCAAAAAAAGCTATCAGAGGTGGTACTTTAATGATGGGTGAGCTTTCCTGGTGAGAAGGAACCATTTGGCAAGAGGTAGCCAGGGCTAGGAAGCAGGGAGAGCAGGGTGCAGGGAGGCCCTGGGGCCAGCCAGGTCTTTACACCCCAGACAGGACCTGGCTGGGAACCACACTTGTTTGTCTGCGGGGTTGTGAACGCTGGGCCACGGGTAACTACAGGACAAAGGGGAAAGAGGAGAAGAAGGTGAGAGGTGAGAGAGGCTTTTTGGTGAGGCGGGGCTGGGCTGCCATCCTGGCAAGACCACATCAGGTCAACATGAGAGAGTCCAAGGACGCCGTGTCTGTAGTAGCACTACAGTGCTCCCCTGTGGGTTTATATGGGGTTTTCAGCTGATGACAAGAAGGGAAGAGGAACAAAACTCATTCCTGTACCATCGGCTAAGTCTCTAGGAGCAGAGTCTTGGGGTGAGGGGGTTCAAGTCCTTCTGCAGCGGTGCATAGACCACAGAAGGGGTGAGCAGTGTACATGTCCATCTCTGTGCTGAGGACCCCAAAGGACCAGTTTTTCAGCCTTTCTGAAATGAAGCTGAGCCCCTCCAAAGTAGCAAATAAGAGACCAAAATAGGCATCTCCCCCCACCCCAATATGGGGGCTTGAGTTCAGGGTCTTGTGCTTGCTAGGCAGATGCTCTACCACTGGAGCCATGCCCTCAGCCTTTTTTGCTTTTTTTGGGGGAGGAGGGGGATCAGTTATGGGGCTTAAACTCAGGGCCTAGGTGCTGTCCCTGAGCCCCTTTGTGCTCAAGGCTGGCACCCTATCACTTGAGCCACAGCACCACTTCTAGTTTTCTGATGGTTAATTGGAGATAAGAGTCTCATGGGGACTTTTCTGCCCAGGCTGGCTTCAAACCACTATCCTCAGGTCTCAGCCTCCAGAGTAGGTAGGATTGCAGGTGTGAGCCACTGGCACCTGGCTGCTTTTAGCTATTTTTTAGGTAGTGTATTGTATTTTACCCAAGGCCAGTCTCAGACCTTGATCTTCCTTCCTACAGCCTCTCAGGTCACTGGGAGCACAAACAAACATAACCCTTCCAACTTATTGGTTGAAATTGGATCTCACTAATTTTATTTTATTTTATTTGCCTTGGACTCTCCTTGAACCACAGGCTCCTTGCTATTTAGTCTCTAGAGTGCCTGGAATTATCAGCATGAACCACTCCACCTGGTTTGCTTTTGTTTCTGTTTCTGTTTTTATTTTTACCCCTTGGTACTGGAGTTGGAACTCACAGCTAAACATTTGCTAAGCAGACACTCTGAGTTACACCTCTAGTCTTTTTTTTTTTTTTTTGGACCCTCTGCACTCTGACAGTGCCATCTTGTTTTCCTCACCACATGTAGGACATACCTGGTCAAGCCAAGGAAAGTTCACTTTTACCTCCAACCCTTCCCTCTCCTACCAGACACAGCCCTGGTGGAAGTGTGGAAGTCAGACGAAAGTCTGAGATATTTCAGTGTGTTCTGACTCTGAGGACTGTTAAAATCCCCAATGAGGGCCTGAGAATGTGGCTTAGTGGTAGAGTGTTTACTAGCATGCATGAAGCCCTGGGGTCGATTCTTCAGTAACACATAAACAGAAAAAGCTAGAAGTGGCACTGTGGTTCAAGTAGTAGAGTGCTAGCCTTGAGCAAAAGAAGCTCAAAGACAGTGCCCAGTCCCTGAGTTCAAGCCCCAGGACTGGCAAAAAAAAAAAAAAAATCCCCATGAAGCCAGGTACTGGCATGCCTGTAACCCTAGCTACTCAGGAGGCAGAGATTTGAGGATCCAGGTTTAAAGTCAGCCCAGGCAGGAATGTCCTGAGATGCTTATCTCCAATTAACTAGCAAAAAGATGGAAGTGGAGCTGTGGCTCAAGTGGCAGAGCACCAGCCTTCAACAACAACAAAAAAAAGCAAGAGTACAAGTCCCTGAGTACAAGCCCTAATACTACAGAGAGAAAGAAAGAGAGAGAGAGAGAGAGTATGTGTGTGTGTGTGTGTAATCTGGACCTATGATGTCCCCATTCGAAGCTACCTTGAGGCTGTGGGTGTTCCTGAGACATTGCCTGTCTAGTGCCCAGGGCTTGGCTATCAGAAGGCAGTCAGGTGGAAGGAGATGCGCCCCTTACCCAGGACCCCCAGGCACCGATGTGCTTTTAAGCTAAGGTGTAGTAAGGGACACTTCTAGAGACTCCTTTCTAGGAAGATACCGCAGGCTGGGACCACCTGCTCCCACCGGGCTTATCTATTATGCTAATGTGGCCCGGCACCGCCCACTCCAATAACATCCAATCATAAGGGAGGGGCGTGGGTATGTTAATAAGGCCGAGCTGGCCACCTGGAACCCTCAAGCACTGGAGATCCCTGTTGGGCGGACTGAGGGCGGAGTCATCGCGACTTCAGAGGTCGCTGCAGAAGGCAACGCGGGCAGGAAGAAACCCGCAGACCCGGACCCTAAGGCTCACTGATGATGCTAATGTGGCCCCGTGCGCTCCGACGTCCCCTGGGGGGTACAGACCACGCCCACTCAGGTACCAGCCAATCCGAGGAGGGGCGTGGCTAGTTAATAACGCCGAACCGACGGTGTTGGCAGTTCAGCAGCTGGAGCGGCTGCGGCGTGCAGGCCGGGTGGCGGCAGCGGCCATGGCCAGGGCGCTCGAAGGTCTGGCCTCGGGCTCGCAGGTCCCCCGGGTCGTCGCCAGCCCGGACTCGGACTCGGACACTGACTCGGAGGACCCGAGTCCCCGGCGCAGCGCGGGCGGTCTGCTCCGATCGCAGGTCATCCACAGCGGACACTTCATGGTGTCGTCGCCGCACAGCGATTCGCTGGCCCGGCGGCGCGACCAGGAGGGGCCCGCGGGGATCGCCGACTTCGGGCCGCGCAGCATCGACCCCACCCTCACCCGCCTCTTCGAGTGCATGAGCCTGGCCTACAGGTGAGGGCGGCTGGGAGTGCGACGCCCCGCGCGGCCCGGGCCCCGGCTGCAGTCCCCTCCTCCAGCCCTGCGCCCCCAGCCCCGGCCCTGCCCGCCCCCCGCCGCCCCTTCCTCCCGCCGCCGCCGCCTCCAGCCCCTAGCGTCCATTTCCGGGCTTGGCTCCGCGCGCCCTAAAGGAGTCCAAGAGCCTAAGACACCTCTGCTCCTCCCCTCCCGGACCCGCGATTCCCTCTCCAGCAGCACCCCCTGTCGAGGGTCCCCTTCCTTCGGCAACCTGCAGCACCCCAGCACACCCGTGGGTGCCCAAGTCACAGCCCGCGTCTCCTGAAGCCCTGCCCACCCGCCGTGGCCCGGACTCCGCTTCTCGCCCGCTAGGTCAAGGGGGGCGGCGGGGGGGGGCGCCCCTGGACGGGCGCTGCTCGCGGAGCTCGACGGCCAAGGCCGGGGAGCGGGGCCTGGGATCCAAGCGCCCCGCACCTGCGGACCCCGCTGGGCGTCTGGCGCGGGGCGCGGGCCGCGCCCGTGTCCCCGAGGAGGGCGCGAACCGGGGTCCTGGCCCGGTGCCCCGGAGCAAAGTTCCTGGGAGCGGAGGGGCCGGGATAAATTATCAACCGAAAACCGTAGCAAGGAAAGGGATCGGCCGGCTTTGATCTTCGCGCGGCGCCCGTAAATCCGTTTCTGGGGCCCCACTGTGCCTCCTCCCCTTCCGAGAAGCGCCGGCACCCGCGGCCCGGAGCGGAGTGGGGTGCACGCGGCCGAGACGGGGAGCCGGGGGCGGCGGAGGCCTGGACCCCATTGGCTGGAGAAGAAGTAACCTTGGCCCACACATTCTGGCCTCAGGCCCAGGTCGTGTTGCAACCCGATCGTCCGTCCCGGGCGCCTGACCAGTGTGGAAAGTTCAGATTCCCGTCCGTCCCTTCCTCCCCACCTCCTTGGACATCACGAGACCGTCCGAGAGCGGGGCGTCTGAGGTCCTGGCCCCTCCTCCAGAGCCCCCCTCCCATCGGCCTCCTGCCCGCACTCCCGCCGCCCCCCCCCCCATGGCCGACTGCAGGCTGTAGGAACCCCAGTGGGGGTAGCTGGGGTGAAAAAAAAATCCAAAGATCGCGGGGTCCAGCAGACAGGCAGGGAGGGCCAAGGACGGTGGGGCAGGCCCGCAGGAAGGAGGGCAGCCTGGGGTGGGCCTGGCTGACTTCCACCTTTCAGGGCTGTGTGGAGAGGGGAGGACTTTTCTAGCAGTTTGTGTTCCACAATTCTGGGGGTGGAAGGCTGAGGGAGGAGGGGTTAGTGGCTCCCAGATAGTCCTCGTTCTAGGTGGGAGCCGGCCTCAGGATGTAGGGGGACGATAAGCAAGGACACGTCAGGGCAATGCTACAGTGAATTCCTGAGTGTACTGAGTGCTGAAGTTTGTCCCGTCCTAGCCGGCATGGTGGCATCTGTAATCCCAGCACCTGGGAGGCTGAGAGTAGAGGATCTCAAGTTTGAGGCTACCTAGTTAAGACCTTGTCTCGGAGGAGAAAAAAAAAAACCATCTTGGCCTAAAATTCTCTGATTGTTTCCTGCTGTCAGAAGCAGAGCTTGAACTTTGGCCTTAGGCTTTTTGCTGCAGGCTCAGCCCCTCCCTGACCTCCAACCAATCAGGTCCTTTCCCCGAGGTTTAGCTGTTGTCAGTCACCCGTCCCAAAGCCAGGTCAGGGCCCTGAACCTCAAAAGGGAGATGGAGAGGGTGGCTGGATGGGGATGGGACTCCAGGAGGTTGCTGGGATACATGCAGGAGCATCAACTCCACAGTCCCCTTTAGGTGCCAGAAGGCAAGCTGGCTGGGGGAGGGAAGGGTTAGAGTTCCCCTCCCTCTCATTACTGTACAGATGGTGTTGATCTAAGCACCAGGGGATAGGGCCATCAGCACCAGGACACCTGTGTGTGGACCCTATTTGGGTAATGAGGCCTGTGGTCCCCTGAGGTGGCAATACCCCTGTCCCTACCCATGGCAGCCAACCCTCCCAAAACAAACAGAGGAACTTGGAGACCAGAGAGGACAAGTGACCCTATGCCCCAACCCCCCACCTCCCCCCCCCCCTTCTGGGAGAGGAGCTGAAGAGTCAGACCCCCCCACCCCCTCCTTACTCCCAAGAGGGCAGGCCTAGCTTTCCAGAAGGCTGGGGGGGGGGGGTGTAAACCATGAGGAAGAAGTGGGGGGAGAGGATGGGCAGAGGTCTGACCTCAAGTTTCTGGCCTCCTGGGTCAGCCTCGCCTGCCTGTTCTACCCAGTGGTCCTGGGAGCCTCCTGTGTGCAGCCTCTATACACGGGGTTGGCAGCCAGCTCCGCTGATATCCTCTGGTCGCCATGTCCCAGGAGAAGGGAACCCCTGGGGAAGTGGCTCCCTCTCCCATGGGTTCCCAGCCCCTCAGACTAAGGGGTCCAGAGAGAGGAACAGAAGAAGTCCCAGGGCTTGCCTGGACCCTTGCTATGTGACCTTAAGCATGCCCCCTTTCTCCTCTTAATTATTTTTGGGGGGTGGGGAGTCATACTGGAGTTTGAACTCGCGGTCTCTCACTTGCTAGGCAAATGCTCCACCACTGGAGCCACTCCCCAGCCCTTTGGTTGCACTTTTTTTTAAACCTGTGCTCGCCTCTGACCACAATCCTCCTATCTTCCTCCTTAGTAGCAGGGATTACAGGCATGCACTATCTTGCCTGACCATGAAAGTCATCTCTGCCCCTCCCAAAGTAAGAAAAGGGTCTGAAGCCTCTCCCCCAGGGCTACTACAGGTGTGACAGCTGTGCAGCCACCACTCACGGCTGCTCGGAAGACAGAGTTTATAAGCAAATGCTCCCTGGCTGGGGTTCTCACAGCAGTAGATTAACACACAGGGCTCAGGAAACGCAACCGGGAGGTCTGAAGAATACGGCCAGGGTCTGGATCCTGGCAGGTGAGAAGAGGGATAGGATTTGGGGTGGGGTTCCTCCAATTGCAGCCACAGGTGAACGCTTCATGCATGAGAAGCCCCCCAGGACCCTATCCTGATTTACCCTCTCCCCACAACAGTGGCAAGCTGGTCTCCCCCAAGTGGAAGAACTTCAAAGGCCTCAAGTTGCTGTGCAGGGAAAAGATCCGCCTGAACAACGCCATCTGGAGAGCCTGGTACATCCAGTGTGAGTGGGTACCCCAGGACTCCCCCCTCCCCCGCCCCCAACCACAGGGCCCCCAGCCACAGGGCCCCTGGCAGAGATCGCTAGCAAATTCAGGACAGCCGGCAGGCTGCTGCTGGTCTTACCAGGAAGCCCTGAGGGTCTGGGGGGGGGGGGGGGGGGAGTGTGCCAAGGTAGTGTCCACAGTTGTGCGGGTCACCAGCAGAGGGCACCCTTATGTGGGAAGCAGCTTGCACTTGGGGACCAGTTCACAGCCCAATCTGTGAGACAGGTGCTCCAAATGGCAGGGTAAAGGGGGCATTAGACACCTTCTGAGTGTTGCAGCACTTTTTTGGGGGGGGCAGTCCTGGGCTTGAGCTCAAGGCCTGGGCACAGTCCCTTAGCTTTCTCTCTCAGGGTTGGTGCTCTACCACTTAGAGCCACAGCTCTGCTTCCAGCTTTTTCCTGGTTAACTGGAAAGAAAAGTCTCAGGGACTTTCCTGCCCAGTCTGGCTTCAGATCTCAGCCTCCTGAGTGGCTAGGATTACAGGCATCTGGCTCAGTGGCGACTCACTCAATTGCATCACTTTGTAAGTGGGGAAACTGAGGAAAGTCTTGTGTGAGTCTCCACCAGCCTTCCATGAAATCTTTACTGATCACCCAGGAGGTGCCTACCTTGGAGACTTGGGGTCCCAGAGCATCAGGTCGTGGAAGGGGTGGGAATATAGCCCAATGGTAAATCACTTGCCTACTTCCTGTGTTCATTCCCCAATTGGGGGGGAGGGGGGCAGTGCTAGATCGTGAATATCATGTTGGCTGGTGACTCCAGGCAAGCTGCCCAACCTCTCTGAGCCCATATTATTCCAGATCAGGTAAGGCCGGCAGTTCTGCCTTCATGCTGTGCTCAGTCAATGATAAATGATGTGCCCTGAAGAGGCCACACTCATTCCCTTGGGGAAAACCCAGGGGTCTTGGCCCAGCCTTGAGTTGGTTAGGCCCCTGTCCAGCTCAGCTCCATCCCAACCCCAGAGGAGCAGCTGAGGTCTTTGCATTGGATCCCAGACTGGTTTCACTCATCTTCACCTTCTTTTTTAGAGCCTCCTAAGGTTGGGAAGGTGGCTCCGTGGTAGAGTGCTTGCCCAGCATGCATGAAGCCCTGGGTTTAAATCCTCAGCACCACATACACAGAAAAAGCCAGAAGTGGTGCTGTGGCTCAAGTGGTAGAGTGCTCGTCTTGAGCACAGAGAGGCTCAGGGACAGTGCCCAGGCCCTGAGTTCAAGCCCCAGGACTGGCCAAAAAAAATTTAAAAATCAAATTTTAAAAAGCCTCCTAGGGGCTGGGAAGGTGGCTCAGTGGTAGAGCGCTTGCCTTGCATGCATGAGGCCCTGGGTTCGATTCCTCAGCACCACATAAGCAAAAAAGAAAAAACCGGAAGTGGCGCTGTGGCTCAAGCGGTAGAGCGCTAGCCTTAAGCTGAAGAGCTGAGGGACAGCGCCCAGGCCCAGAGTTCAGGCCCCACAACCAAACCAAAAAATAAAAAATAAAAAGCCTCCTAGGCCGGGCGCTGGTGGCTCACGCCTGTAATCCTAGCTACTCAGGAGGCTGAGAGCTGAGGATCGCGGTTCAAAGCCAGCCCGGGCAGGAGAGACTGTGAGACTCCTATCTCCAATAAACCACTAGAAAACCAGAAGTGGCGCTGTGGCTCAAGTGGTAGAGCGCTCACCTTGAGCTGAAGAGCTGAGGGACAGCGCCCAGGCCCAGAGTTCAAGCCCCACGACCGACAAAAAAAAAAAAAAAAAGCCTCCTAGCTGTGCCCCCTTAATTTTATTAATGAGCAATAGAGGCTCAGAATAGCAAGTGACTTTTCAGGTTCATGGATATTATAAAAGCTGTAGCCGAGCTGGGCGCCAGTGGCTCACACTTGTAATCCTAGCTACTCAGGAGGCTGAGATCTGAGGATCAGGGTTCAAAGCCAGCCCAAGCAGGAAAGTCCATGAGACTCTTATCTTCAATAAACTACTAGAAAACCGGAAGTGGCGCCATGACTCAAGTGGTAGAGCACTTGCCTTTGAGCTGAAGAGCACAGGGACAGAGTTCAAGCCCCATGGCCAAAAAACAGGTGTAGCCAAGGCTGGACACCAGTGACTCACACCTGTAATCCTAGTTACTCAGGAGGCTGAGATCTGAAGATAGTGGTTGGAAGCCAATCAGACCAGAAAAGTTGGCAAAAAGCCAGAAGTGGAGCTGTGGCTCAAGTGGCTGAGCTCCAGCCTTGAGAAAAAAAAGCCAAGTCAGAGCCCAAAGCCCCCCCCCCCCCAGGGGTTCAAGCCTCAGTCTTAGCACACAAAGAAGTTAGGAACGCCCCCTTCCCATCACCAGAGGTTTGAAGGTAGTCTAGGGAAGGGAGGAACTCACCCCTCTGCTTGGTCCTGAACTCTCAAGTCCTTCCCTAGCCTGTGCCCTGCCCTATCTTCCATGGGAGAACCTTCCACCCCCATTATCTCCTGCTTTGTTTGCTTTTCTTATCTCTTAGTGAGAGATAAGCCACCCCATTTTAGCCCTGTGCCCCCATCCCAGCATCTGCCCCTGCTAGAGGGCATCCATGGCTACTGAGAATTTTTTGGTGTTAAAGCCAGCTCCAGTGGGAGGCCCTGAGTTTGAGGCCCTGAGTTCAAGCCCCAGTACCTGCACCAAATTAAAAGGGGGTGGTGGGTGGGCTAGGTCCTAGAATTCAGTAACCAAACTTGGACTGTAGACACAAAAAAGAAGAGAGGCTGGGACCGGAGCCTGGAAAGGGAGCCAGGTAAGGCAGGTGGAGATGGCCTGGACCCAGATGCCCACGAGCCTAAGGAGGTCCAGCCGGGAACTGGGGACTGTGCCCCCCATTCAGGATATCCTGGGAGGCACAGGAGGGCATGATGGGAAGGGAGGGCCAGCCCAGGCAGGCAGGCTTCCTCCTGAACACCAGGGCCAGGCTGGGCCAGGGTGGTAGTGCTATAATTTCCACACTAGGGAGACTGAGGCAGGAGAATCACTGGTCAATTTAGTGAGACTGTCTCAAGAAAACAGAAAAGCCAAGCTAGATTTCAGAGGCTGTCGCTTGAGTAGTCACCCCCCCTCCCATAAGGGGTTGCTGAGATCTGGGGGCCCCTGACCTGGCTCCCTCTCTCAGATGTGGAGCGGAGGAGGAGCCCCGTGTGTGGCTTCGTGACTCCTCTGCAGGGGCCTGAGGCTGATGAGCATCGGAAACCCGAGGTAAGAAAACAGGGGTGCGGCACCCACCCACTGCCCCTTCAGCGCCACGGGTGGGAGGGGCAGGCCCCAGCAGGAAGCGCGGTCCCGCCCCCTCCGTGTCCCCAGGCTGTCATGCAGGAAGGGATGTGGGGAGGGGAGAGGAGGGAGGAGGGAAGGGTGTGGATGGAGGAGAGGGGGTGAGATGGAGGAGGGGCGGGAGGAGCCCGACCACGCCCCCTCTTGGCCCCGCTCCCTCCGCACCCCCAGGCCGTCGTCCTGGAAGGGAATTACTGGAAGCGCCGCATCGAGGTGGTGATGCGCGAGTACCACAAGTGGCGCATCTACTACAAGAAGCGGGTCAGTGGGGACCCAGGGGAGCCCCACAGCTGTCCCCCGCGACTTGGGGTGCCCCACCGCTGTGCCCCACGGCTCGGGAAAGGGCTTGCAGGGCTCCCCAGCCCAGCCCGCTCTCTCAGGACCTCCATGAAAGTCCCACGCTGACAGCGCCACCGTGTGGTCACTGGACGCCACTGCAGCCTGCTTACCTCTGACGGCAGAGGGGAGACGGGGGGGGGGGGGGGGGCGGGGGGGGGGAGGGAAGACATGGGGGACCACGTCTATGGAGGCTGGGAGTTATGGAAGGGGGTCCCGTGTCTAACTCTGTCCTTGCAGCTCCGTAAGTCCAGCAGGGAAGGGGATCTCCTGGCCCCTAAACAGGTAGGTATTTGTGAAATCCAGGAAAGGGGTTGGGCTTGTCCCACAAGAGGTACATATTCCACAGCTCCCCCTTGGCTGGCCACTGTGTCCGAAGGCTAGGGTGGGATGGGAGGGACCTCCACCCGCAGTGGTGGAAAGACCTCTGGCCACTGAGTAAACAGGACCCCCCCCCTCCCCAGGAGGGAAAAGCATAGAATGGAGGAACGGATCCCTTATTTCTTCAGGGGATTGGCCACCCTGGCCTGTTTCCTGGGGAAAATCCATTAGAGGCCAGTGGGGTGATTGTGACCTTCCAGGCAGTGGACCAGACCCCTGGGAGAGGCGAGGAGGTGCGTCCTGCAGGCAGGCTGATGTGGGGGGCTGGGCAGTGATCCTTGTCTCACTAGGCGGAAGCGGGGTGGCCCCCTCCAGAGCGATGGTGCGAGCAGATCTTCTCCAGCGTGGTGCCCGTGCTGCTGGGGGGCCCGGAGGAGGAGCCCGGTGGGCGGCAACTGCTGGATCTCGACTGTTTCTTGTCCGACATCTCTGACACGCTCTTCACCATGACCCAGCCCAGCCCCTCATCCCTGCAGCTGCCTCCTGAGGATGGTGAGGGCCTTGGTCCACACTGGGGGCAGGGTCAGTGCCTCAGGCCAGTGACAGTCCAGAGAGGATGGCTGGGGACTGTCCACCCTGCTTGCTGCTCTTGACAACACTACTGTTCCCCCAGCCTATGTTGGCAATGCTGACATGATCCAGCCAGACCTGACGCCCCTGCAGCCTAGCCTTGATGACTTCATGGACAGCTCAGGTGAGGCAGACCTTCCTAGAGTAGACAGGCAGGGTACCACACCACCTTAGGCCACTTTGTTTGGCCTCAGGTAAGGAGAGGGACAGGTAGAATACAGGACCAGGGGACTGGGGACTCCCAGGAAAGCAGTAAATGTGGGAATCTCTTAAGGGAGAGAAGGACTTTGATTGGCTTGGGTCTGTTTATTACTTACAAATAATAATAAGCTAGGCCCCAGTTGCTCACACCTGTAATCCTAACTACTCAGGAGGTTGAGATCTGAGGATCTCGGTTCAAAGCCAGCCCAGGCAGGAAAGTCCATGAAATTCTTAGCTCCAACCACTCAGAAAACCGGAAGTGGCGCCGTGGCTCAAGTGGTAGAACACAAGCCTTGAGCAAAAGAGCTGAGGGACAGCGCCCAGGCCCAGAGTTCAGGCCCATGACCGACAAAAAATAAAAACTAATTTTTTTAAAAAACACCTCTTTTTGGTGGTACTGGAGCTTGAACTCAGACTGGGTGCTGTCCCTGAGCCACCTTCCCAGCCCATCCCAGGTCAGGCTGGGAATGTGGCCTAGGGGTAGAGTGCTTACCTAGTATGCATGAAGTCCTGGGTTCGATTCCTTAGTATCATATAAGTGGAAAAAGCCAGAAATGGTGCTGTGGCTCATGTGGTAGAGTGTTAGCCTTGAGCAAATGAAGCTCAGGGACAATGCCCAGGCCCTGAGTTCAAGCCCAAGAACTGGCAGAGAAGAGAGAGAGAGAGAGAATATCCCAGGCATCTGATTATATAAAACATTTTTGAAGATCATAAATTTTTAGCTGCCTCCTCTCCTAACCTAGAGCCACCAAGTTACACCTTTCCAAATGTCTGTTTTCACATGACTTAATCCTCCACGCTACTTTCTGCAAACTGCATTAGGGGGCTCTAGAGCCCTGTGTGTGTGTGTGTGTGTGTGTGTAAATCAGGCTCAGCCTGTCGCACCCAAGGTCCAGGGGACAGAAAGAAGGAGAGACCTAGTTTTTTTTGTTTTTGTTTTGTTTTGTTTTTCTGCTTTTTGTTGGGTCGTGGGGCTTGAACTCTGGGCCTGGGCACTGTCCCTCAGCTCTTCAGCTCAAGGCTAATGCTCTACCGCTTGAGCTACAATGCCACTTCTGGTTTTCTGGTGGTTTATTGGAGATAAAAGTTTCATGGCTTTTCCTGCCCAGGCTGGCTTTGAACCTCGATCCTCAGACCTTAGCTTCCTGAGTAGCTAGGATTACAAGCATGAGCCACCGGTGCCCTGCTCAAAAGAGAGGCTTAGTTTCAGCCACTCCCTCAGCTGCTTTCCCATAGGGTCCTGGGCCTGTCCATCAGGAAACAGAGGTCCATGGGGCGGGGACTAGGGAATGAGGAACCACCCTCACCCCTGCCTCAGCTCTGGGTGGGTGGGGGCTGCCAGGGGCAGAAGTGTTGATGGCAGTACCCTGGGAGCAGACCAGCCAAAGAGGGTGGCAGCCCTGTCCTGGCACACAGACCCCCACCACAGGTAAGAGCCAGTGTCCATCAAAGCTCCGGACAAAACTGAGACCGTAGGGACTTTTATTTTGGTGCTGGTACTGGTGCTTGCTCACACTCTTGCTTAGCTTTTTTGCTCAAGGCTGGTGCTCTACCCTTTGAACCACACCTCTACTTCTGTTGTTGCTGGGTTATTGGAGATAAAAGTCTCAGGAATTGTTTTCTGCCCAGGCTGGCTTTGAACACAGTCACCAGATCTCATCCTCCTGTGGTCACCCCTGTAATCTGAGTAGCTTGGATTACAGGCATGAGCCTCCAACATGGAACCTTATGAGACCTTTCAGTTCAGAGTGGCTGTGCGCGGGGTGGGGGTGAGCTTGGGTTTCACAGAGGTGGCGGCTCCTGGACTTCCACTGTGAGCCCCTCCCTGGAAACACCTTCACCACCCCCACCCCCAGGGGTCCAGAACTCTATGCACTCAGGAGCCCTGTGAGGACAGGTGGGGAGAGATGGCAGGGCAGGGTGCATGGGGCTCCAGGAGCAAGCCCAGGTCAGGAAGAGGCTGGAGCTGAGGGAGGCTGGGGTTGAGGGAGGCTAGGACTGAGGGGAGGCTGGGGCTGAGGGGGAGACTGTGGTTGAGGGAGTCTGGGGCTGAGGGAGGCTGGGTTGAGGGAGGCTAGGGCTGAGGGCATGGCTGGGGTTGAGAGAGGCTAGGACTGAGAGGGAGGATGGTGTTGAGGGAGGCTGGGGCTGAGGGGAAACGGGTTGAGGGAGGCTGGGGCTGAGGGTCGGCTAAGGATGAGGGGGAGGCCTGGGTTTAGGGAGTCTGGGGCTGAAGGGGAGGCTGGGGCTGAGAGAGGCTAGGACTGAGAGGGAGGATGGTGTTGAGGGAGGCTGGGGCTGAGGGGAAACTGGGGTTGAGGGAGGCTGGGGCTGAGGGGGAGGCTGGGGTTGAAGGAAGCTGGGATTGAGGGAGGCTGGGACTGAGGGAGGCTGGGACTGAGGGAGGCTGGGACTGGGGGGAAGCTGGGACTGAGGGAGGCTGGGACTGAGGGAGGCTGGGACTGAGGGGAAGCTGGGGCTGAGAGGAGGCTGAGGTTGAGGGGGAGGCCGGGGCTGAGGAGGAGGCTGGGAAGCAGCTTTTCTGGGGATAAGCATGGGCTGTCCAGGGTAGGCAGATGGCTGGCGGCTCAGGGCTGAGGACCAGCCACCTCAGACTCCTGCCTGTGCGGGGTGGGAGTGTGCCAGACAAGCCCCAGGTCTCAAGTCATGTAGCCTGTGGCCCCTGGGGACCAGGGCTGGAAGATCGGTGGCTTTACCTGCTCCTGCAGCCCCTTGGCTAAAAATGGGCCTCAGAGTCCTGGCCCAGTGGCTCACCCCTGTAATCCTAGCAACTCAGGACACTGAGGACCAAAAATTGCTAGCCCAGGCAGGAAAGTCTGTGGAGACTCTTATCTCTACTTACCAAAACACTGGAAGTGAAGGTGTGGCTCAGTTGGTAGAGTGCCAGCCTTGAATGAAAAAAACTAAGGGACGGTGCCCAGGCCCGGAGTTCAAGGCCCAGAACCAGCCACACACACACACACACACACACACACACACACACACACACACACAAAGTAGACCTCAGGACAGCCAGAACCAGACACACACACACACACACACACACACACACACACACACACACACACACACACACACACACACACACACACAAAGTAGACCTCAGGACAGCCAGAAATGCCTCCTGCTGCAGGGGGAGACACAGCTGGGGAAGGGCAGGATGCACGCACAGGCTGCCACAGACAAAGTGACACACTGGGGGGGAGGGAGGGAGGGGGCTTTGGCTTTGTGGAGAGCACACACACATGTGCACACATGAGGTGCAGGAGAGGGGCCTTGCGGGCTCTCCTGGCTGAGGGTCAGGAGGGAGCCGGGTACCGCCGTGGTGAGGTCAGGCCCGGCCCGCAGCGGAGGCCTTGGGGCAGACCGCAGGCTGCTCAGGGTCAGAGAAAGGTGCCCGGAAGGGAGCGGGTGGCCAGCGGCACCCTAGCCCGGGATGTGGTTTAGGCCACAGGCAGCTGCTTCCCAAAACCAGAATAGCCCAGGACTTACACAACACAGCACCCCAATCTGGCCACCCTGTGCCCCCTCACCAGCGCTGCAGGCTCCCCAGCCCCTTCCTCCCTGCTGCTGTCCCCAAGATGAGCCCACTTTTTTTGTGTCTGTCACCCCCCTGGCCTTCACCCTATCCTGGGCTCTGCTTGGGCTCTGTCAACCTTCCTGCAAGCCCCAGACCCGCTGACCTCCTGACCCACTCACCCATGACTCACCCTTGACCTCCTGCTGCACTGGGGTGCCTCCCTGTACCCCACCCCTTTCCCTCCCAGACCCCCTTCATGCCACCCCACCTTTGTATCAGAGAAAGAGGCCAGAAAAGGGACCCTGTGGGATTGGTTTCCTGAGGACCTTGCTAGCTAGCCCACTATCCTCCCCCCAAGCAGGTCCCCCCCCCAACCCCAGCCTTGGCTGCTGCTTCCCTTGAGTGAGACAGAAACTCATTTCACAATCTCCTGTGGAGCCCCCCCCCCCCAGCCCGGGGACAGAGCCCTAACTGCTGCCACCCCTGGGTCTCAATTACAGATTTCTTCAGCAACTATCGTCCCCCCCAGACGCCCGTATCTTCCAACTTCCCAGAGCCCCCCAGCTTCGGCCCCATGGCTGACTCTCTCTTCAGCAGTGAGATCCTGGGCCCAGAGGTGGCACCAGCATCCTCCTCAGCCATAATTCCGCTCTCTGGACAGAATCGCCTGCAGGTGAGCTCACCCTTGTTCTGGTCATCCCCTGAGCTTCCTGGAGCCCTACCAGGCACTTCCTGCAGTCTCTGTATCAAGTCTGGCCAACCAAGAGATCCAGGAGGGCACAGGGGCAGGGAAAGGGAGGCCCGAGAGCAGACCTGGGCCAGACAGAGATGGCAGTCAACACAGCAGGGCACCATGGGAGGCTGGGTTGCAGGCAGGAAAGACTTCTTGGAGGCCCAGATTCTGGGCCTTTGGGCAAGGGTCAGGTTTGGACAGAAGAGACTATTGGGCGGAGGGGTGGGGGTGGGGGCGGGGGAGTGAGAAGGAAAACATGGAGCCAGGAAGCTGAGCATCTATTCAGGAAAATCTGAGTCTACCATGCTGGCTCAAAAACTCCATGGTCAGAAAAAGGGATTGTAAGGAGGAGAAAATTGCACTGCACTGTGGGCCTCTTGCTCACTACTGTCTCTAAGTGTACACAGTGTACATGGTTGTCCAATGAGTGAGCAAGTAAGTGTATGCATAGATGATGAATTAGTAATTGGAATGAAGATAATGGTGCATGCATATGTGAGTTACATAGCTATATGTGGATATGTAAGCAGATGAGTGGCTGGTTGGGTGGATGGATTCGTAGATAGTTTGATGGGCTGATGTAGGTAAGTAGTTGGTTAATGTACTTAGTAGATAGTGGCTAGATGATGGATGGGTAGATGGATGAATAAAAGGAGGGATGGATGATGGATGGTTGAATGGATAGCTAGATGGTAGATGATGGATGGATTGGTGTGTGGGTAATGGGTGGATGTTGCATGGATGGCTGGATGGATGGGTGATGAACAGATGGGTGGATGACAGCTGGATGAGTGGATGAATAGATGGAGGAATGGTGGATATATGCATGAAGGGATGGATGGATAGAGGTATGGTGGATTATGGATGCATGCATATATGTAGGGAAGGATGAATGGATGGATTGGTGGGTAGTTAATGGATGGATGACCAGAGGGATGGATGGATGATGGATGATGGATCATGAGTGGATGGTTGAATGGATGGATGGATGGATAGACAGATATATAGATAGATGGATGGATGGATGATAGATGGATGGGTGGATGGATAATGGATGGATAGTAGGTGGGTGCATGAATAGGAATGGTCATGGGTGGATGATGCACAGAGAACTGAATGGATGGACCGATGGGTAGTTAGTGGGTGGACTGGTGGGTAGTTAATGGATGGATGACTGGATGGATGGATACATGGTTGCAAATGGGTAACCCTCCCTGCCCCCCCTACTCCCTGATGAGTGTCTCTCTGTCCCCTAACTAGGCTCGGAGCAGCTGCCTTGTCCCTGTGGACCCCGGTGCCTTTCTGAACTCTGATTTCCTCCTTCCTGAAGACTCCAAGCCCAAGCTCCCACCTCCTCCCCCACCTCCCACTCCTGTCCTGCCATACCCTAGCCCTGCCAAAAGACCCCTGGAGCCCTGCACCCCACCCTCCTTCCCTGCCATGGCTCCACCGCCAGCTATGGTACCAGAAGAGACTGTCTTCTCTAGCAGGTTCCCCTTCCCCACAGGCCCTCCTGTCCTGGGAGTGTCCCCTGTGCCTGCTCCCCCGGCCTTCCTCCCCACCCCACAGCCTGGCCCCCGCCCCACCTCTGCCTCTTTCCCCATAGACCATCTCTCCTCGGGGTACCCAGAGTCTGCCTTTGGGTCTCCCCTCTCAGTGTCCCAGAGCATGCATATCAGAGGCAAGCCCCCTGTCCCATCCCCTAGGGGACAGAGAGCCAGCCCCCCCACCATGACCTCTGCCACCACCAGCCCCAGTAACCCCTGCCTCACACAGCTGCTCAGGGCAGGTGAGATGGACTAGCCCTGGAATGAGGGCTGTGCTGGGGAGCCCCGGGTGAAGGGTGAGCTTGGGGCATGAGGGGATCTTAAGCCATGATGGGTTGTCCCGTGTGTGCAGCCAAGCCTGAGCAGGCCCTGGAGCCACCACTCCTGCCCGCACCCCTTGGCGTATCCCCGGGATCACCGGTAAGATGGCAGGTGCTGGGAGGTGAGGCTGAGCCCAGGGCCTGTTCCCCAACTCTCTGCGCTTCTCTGCCCCAACAGGAGACCATCCCTGAATTCCCTCATGCCTTCTTTTCCCCAACGCTGGCCCCTGTACCACCCAGGCCGCCACCTAGCTCAGCCACGCTGGCCCCTCCCAGGTCCCTGGTTGTCCCCAAAGCAGAGCGACTGTCACCCCCAGCTCCCAGTGGTAAAGAGGGAGGATGAAGGAAGATGGAGTGTGGAAGGGTGAGGGGGGCTTGCCTGGAGCCGAGAGGTCTGTCTGGGGATCTGTCTCTGTCCCTGCTACAGGCCGTGAGCGGCGGCTGTCGGAGGAGAACTCTGTCCCTGCACCTGGGCCACCAAGGGGCCGTGTCTCTCCCCCTCTACCCATCCCAAGCCGGGGCCGTCAAGACAACAATAAAGTGGGTACCTCCACACTGCTTGTCCAGCTCCCCAGGCTCTCCCGGGCTCCTTCCTAAACTCACTGCACCTTCTGTTCCCCAAGACGGAGAGCCGAAGGATCACGCATATCTCGGCCGAACAGAAACGGCGTTTCAATATCAAACTCGGCTTCGACACTCTGCATGGGCTCGTGAGCACCCTCAGTGCCCAGCCCAGCCTCAAGGTGAGCCCCCAGCCCAGGCTGTACCCCCAGAGCACCGGGACCCCTCCCTGACCGCCCACCTAAGGCCAGCCCCCAGGCCCACACTGGTGGTGTCTGCAGGTGAGCAAGGCTACCACGCTACAGAAAACTGCAGAGTACATCACCATCCTGCAGCAGGAGCGGGCCTCCATGCAGGAGGAGGCCCAGCAGCTCCGGGACGAGATCGAGGAGCTCAATGCCGCCATCAAGTAGGCAGGGTGGGGAAGGTCTGGGGTCAGGGCAAAGGCAGGGGCCCAGGGAGCAGGCCATTCCTCTGGCTCCCCACTGCTGACGTGCATGGCCCCCAGCTTGTGTCAGCAGCAGCTGCCAGCCACGGGGGTGCCCATCACACACCAGCGCTTTGACCACATGCGACACATGTTTGATGACTACGTCCGGACCCGCACACTGCACAACTGGAAGTTCTGGGTGGTATCCTCACTCTAGCCAATGGCCTCAGGGCAGCAGAGGGATGAGTACTTCAGCCTGATCAAGCTGTGCCTGAAGCCACAGGTTCAGTTCCACAGGCCCAAAGAAGGACTCTAACCTGCCCCCTGCTACCAGGCTCTGGACCAGCAAGGTCACCCAGTGTAGATCTGGGAGCTGAGAGAGTCAAGGGGAGGAAAGATCCAAAGCAAGAGGAACCCTCAAGAGGCCCCAAGAAAGCCAGGCACCAGTGGCTTATGCCTCCTGTAATCCTAGCTAAGATCTGGGGATCACAGTTCAAAGCCAGCTTGGGCAAACAAATCCAGAGACTCATTGCCAACTTGCTAGAAAAAAAAAAAAAAAAGCCAGCCCGGCACTGGTGGCTCATGCCTATAATCCTAGCTACTCAGAAGGCTGAGATCTGAGGATCGCCATTCAAAGCCAGCCTGGGCAGGAAAGTCCGTGAGACTCTTATCTCCAATAAACCACTAGAAAAAACCAGAAGTGGTGCTCTACCAGCGGTAGAGTCCTCACCTTGAGCTGAAGAGCACAAGGACAGCGCCCAAGTCCAGAGTCCAAGCCCCACGACCAACCAAAAAAAAAAAAAAAATGCCAGAAGTGGAGTGGGTAGCACAAGTGGTAGATCATCAGACAAGAGCATGAGGCCCTGAGTTCAAGTCCCAGTACCAGCATGCATGAATGTGCACAAGTGCACACACACACACACACACACACACATTCAAGGTCCCAAGAGAGTATTCTGAATCTTTTTAATGATGAGATCTAAAAATGGAAGAAATCCCAGCCCCGCTCCACCACGTGCTAGTGATTGAACTCAGGGTCACTTGCGCATACCCCCAGTCCTTTTGTTTTTCAAATAGGGTCTCAGGCATTTGCCCAGGCTGGCATTGGATTGTGATCTTCCTACCTTTGCCTCCTGAGTAGCTGACATTATAGGCATGCAACACCACACCCAGCTCAGAATCATGACTGGCAATCCAGGGAGAAGGGGCAGTCTTGAGTAGAACCAGGACTGGCAGAACCAAGAGGAGGGAGCTGAAAGCTAGAGAGGTAGTCAGTCTTTGGCATGATGTGGGGGACATTGAGGGTTTTTAGGGCCCAAGGTTAGATAGTGGCAAGCCCTTCCTTCTGATTTGGGTCAGGTATCAAGGTTCCGTGTAGTACTGTCTTGGCCTCAAGCCTGTTCCTTGACCTTGGCTCTCAGTTCAGCATTCTCATCCGACCGCTGTTTGAGTCCTTCAATGGGATGGTGTCCACTTCAAGCCTTCACAGCCTCCGCCAGACTTCGCTGGCCTGGCTGGACCAGTGCTGTTCCTTGCCAGCTCTCCGGCCAAGTATGCCCACCACCTGTCTGCCCTGCAGCGTGGAGGCTCAGGGCAGGGGGTTCTGCTTGGGGCCATGCCGCTGTGCTCCTTGGATGGTCCTACAACCACCAGGATGCCTACAGACAGGGGTCTTAGAAGGGCTGGCCTGATGCCAGCCCCCACCTCAGCCAAGTCTCTGTCTCTTTCCAGCTGTGCTGAACTCCCTCCGCCAGCTAAGCGTGTGCACCAGCATCCTGACCGATCCCAGCCGCATGCCTGAGCAAGCCACAAGGGCTGTCACTGAGGGCACCTGGGGCAGACCACCACTATAGTATCAGCTAACCCTGCCTAGCTCCAGCAACAACTCCCAGGCCCTCCACTCCTGTCCCAGGCCCCTTTGCTGTAGTTCCAAGAGCTGCATTCCTGTCCCTGGGATACCAATGAAACTTGGGGTGACTGACACTCTACCCCATCTTTGGAAATCCATTTTTCACTTGGCAAAATGGTGCTAAAGGAGGCTCACCCGACATAGAGCTCTAAGGCCTTAGCTACTGTGACTGTAGGAACTTAAGCAGGCCATCCAGAGAGTGTTGTTCTTACCTGGGGCCCTGAGCAGGGAGCAGGAAGGAGCCTTCTTTGCTCCTACACAGGTGACATGGGGGCTGAAGGGTGGCTTCCTCTGAGCCGAGCAAGAGCGGTCTCATATTTGGTAAGACCAGAGCAGGGGCGGCTAGAGCGGTCAGGCATCTTGTGTGTGTATGGGTGTGTGTATGTGTGGATTTTGTACAGATTTCTTGAACCATAAAAGCAAAAACTATGTTGCTGTGACTATCAATGTGTCTTCTGAGATGGAGACAGAATGGGTGACAGCTGAAGGTGGCTTTGTAGAAGGCCTTGGAGGCTGTAAGAAAACACCGTGAGCAGTGTGGTGGTTCAGGCCTGTCCTAACTTGTGCTTCCTAGGCTAGTGCTCTCCCACTGGAACCACACCTCAACCCTGTTTGTATTTTTCAGATAGGGTGTGAACTTTTTGCCCTGACAACGTACTATGGTGATCCTACCTTCTGCAAGGCTGAGATTATAGGCACTCACCACTACACTTGACTTGTTGAGGCAGGCACTCACTTCATTTTCCCTGAGCTGGCCGCAGATTTTTGCTCCTCAGTCCACCTTCCAAGTAGCTGGGATTATAGACACCAGCCACTGGGCCTGGCTCTATCATTCACTTTTTCAATTCCCTGTGAATCTATAATAAAATTCTGTGTAATTTCTTGTTGGGGAGGTGGGTGTAACTCTGTGGTAGAGTACTTACCTAGTATGAGCAAGGTCCTGGGTCTGATCCCCCAATACGACAAAAAACGAACTACAATCTCCTTCCAGCGTCCTGCTCCCACCGACTTCCCGTGTGCTTCTGTCCTTACTCCCTGCACTCTCCCGCACATCCGCAGAACCTGGAGGTAATCTGCATCCCCTCCAGTGGGGCCCCCGGGTGCAGGGCCAGGCGCGGCCCTTCGGACCTCGACCCGACCCGCGTCCGGAACGGTGTCCAGGGCAGGCCGGAACTTTGCAACCCCGCCGAGCCACCGTACACGGAGCCCGTAGTTCTCTCAGGGCACAGCAGGCCCGACTCCCCACCCGCCGGATTTAGGCTGCCCGCAGGACCCGCCAAAGGCAAGGCCACGCCCCTCGGAGCATTCAAACGGACAGGCTCCGCCCCTCAGGGCAGCTCAACCGCCAGGCCCCGCCCTTTCAGGCTCTCTAGAAAGTCAGGCCCCGCCTCTCCGGCGCTCGAGCAGCGAAGTTCGACCCACCCACGGCCCCAGAAGACGCTCAACAGTCAGGTCACGCCCATAAAAGATGCTTAACTGCCAGGCCTCGCCCCTCTAGACGCCTCTCCGAGCATTCAAACGGAAGGCTCCGCCCCATGAGACGCGCCAACAGTCAGTCCCCGCCTCCCCAGGCGCGCCCGCACTGAGGCCCCTCCCCTCGGGTCATTCACACGGTGACTCCGCCCTTTGAGGCCCGCCAACGGCCTGGCCCCGCCCCCTGCGTGCGTCGAGGCGTACGGACGCCGCCCTACGCCGAAAGCTGAGTTGGCAACGGCGTCCCTGGCCGACATGGAGCTGCCGCAGATGCCGGAGCTGATGGGGCTGTCCCTGTTGGTGGGGCTGTTGGCCCTGATGGCGACGGCGGCAGTGGCGCGGGGGTGGCTGCGCGCCGAGGAGGAGAGGAGCAGCCGGCCGGTCCGTAAGTAGGGCCGGGGTAGGGTCGGGGCGCCCGCGGGGGCCGGGGCCTTGGGCCTCGGACCTCGGCTGCAGAGGCGGGGGGCCGGGGCCTCGGGCCTCGGCTGCAGAGGCGGGGGGCCTTGGGCCTCGGGCCTCGGCTGCAGAGGCGGGGGGCCGGGGCCTCGGGCCTCGGCTGCAGAGGCGGGGGTCACCCCTCCGGGTCCCCGCCGCACCCTGGCCGGGGGAGGGCGGTTAAGTGAAGCCGCGGGTGTCAAGAGGCCCTGTCACCGCCAGTAGGCCCAAGCGTTCTTTGAATGAGTTCAGTGAATGTGAGTTGTGAGCATTTAAAAGCGCCAGTAAAAAAATGGCGCGATCGTCGGGGGCTCATGGCTCACGCTTGTAATCCCAGCCACTCGGGAGGCTGAGATCTGAGGATCGCAGTTCGAAGCCAGCCCGGGCGAGAAAGTCCGTGAGATTCTTCTCCGCAGTTAACCACACACAAAAAAGCGGGAAGTAAGCCCAGCGCCGGTGGCTCACGCCTGTCATGGTAGCTACTCCGGAGTCTGAGATCTGAGGAAGCCAGCCCGGGCAGGAAAGTCTGTGAGTCTCTTCTTTATTGCCGGTAAACTACTCAGAAAAAGTCCGAAGTGGCGCTGTGGCTCAAGAGAGCGCTTGCCTTGAGCACAGAGGCTCAGGGACAGAGTCCAGGCCCTGAGTTCAAGCCTCAGGAACCCACACAGAAAAAAGAAGAAAAAAAGCAGGATGGATTTCACAGCGGAGCCACTACTAGAAACAGGGAACCAGAGTAGGAAATCCATAATGTGGACATTTTTTGTGTGTGTATGCCCTTCACTCATGTGCTCTTGCCACGGGGCTATAACCTCCATCCTGCAAGGGGTGGCCAAAGGATGGTAGGGTAGGAAAAAAGTTTACCCAAAAGCCAAGAAGGAAAGACATTCTTACAAAATGGCCAAATTCACGAAGGTGAGGAGCTGCAGAACAGAATTTGGTGTGAATCAAAGGTCAAGAAAGGAGAGTGTGGGGCTGGGAAGGTGGCTCAGTGGTAGAGCGCTTGCCTTGCATGCATGAGGCCCTGGGTTCGATTCCTCAGCACCACATAAGCAGAAAAAAAGCTGGAAGTGGCACTGTGGTTCAAGTGATAGAGGGCTAAGCTTGAGCTGAAGAGCTGAGAGACAGTGCCCAGGCCCAGAGTTCCAACTCCATGACTGACCAAAAAAAAGCGGGGGGGGGGGGGGGGGGGGGGGGGGGGGGGGGGGTAGGGTGTGTGGGTGTGTGTGTTAGAGCAGGCTGGGAAGTTAAGCTGAGGATCATTCTAAATAGCCCAGGTTGGGGCTGGGAAGGTGGCTCAGTGGTAGAGCGTTTCCTTGCATGCATGAGGCCCTGGGTTCGATTCCTCAGCACCACATAAGCAGAAGGAAAAAAAAGCTGGAAGTGGCGCTGTGGCTCAAGTGGTAGAGCGCTAACCTTGAACTGAAGAGCTGAGGGACAATGCCCAGGCCCAGAGTTTAGGCCCACGACCGTACCCAAAAAATAAATAAATAGCTAGCCCCTGCTGGCCTGGGACTCAAAATCCTCCCACCTTACCCACTCCAGTACTGTCATTATGTATGGGTATTACTATGCCTCCCTGTAACTGATTGTGTGGGATCTGCTTTGTGTATAGCAGTGTATCACTTTGTGTATAGTACCCAGTTCTCAACTGCTCTTGAAGGAAACCAAGATGCAGTGCAATCATCTCAATTACCTGTGGTCCTGTCTCAAAAAAATAAGACGAAACCCCCTCCCCCCAAAAATAACAAGGATCAAAGCAATTTCTAAAAAAAGTTTTGTTCCCTACCTCTGACCCCCTTGGTCAGCCTCATCAGCCCAAAGACAGCCTCAGTCACTCACTGAGAGAGCCTAGATACAAACTGAGGATTCCGTTTTTGCCCACGTCACACATTTCTCCAGGACAAGGGCCATACCTGGTTCATCTCTCTCTGCTCTCCTCAGGGCCTGGCTAATCCTAAGTAGTCAGTGAATGGCTTTGCGCAAGTGTATGGATGATTGACATGGCCCTTCCTTCTAGGCCAAAAGGTAAATGGATCCAAAAAATCGGGAACCAAGAAGCAGAAACAGCATCAGCGGATTCGCAAGGAGAAGCCTCAACCACACAACTTCACCCACCGTCTTCTGGCTGCAGCACTGAAGGTAAACAGTAGCCACAGCAGCATCCAGGGTGCCATGCACAGCCTCCAGCCCCACACATCTTTTCCTCAGCAGTAATCTGTGCATGTTTAGACCCCTCTACCTCTGACCAAAGTCAGCATATGTGTTCTGTCCTATCTCTTCTCATCCCAGCTGTCCTCAGCTCACTTAACCCAAGCAAGGGTTCCCCAGTCAGGGCTCCGATTCATGCTTTTCTCCAACCACTCCCCCAGAGCCACAATGGGAACATCTCTTGCATGGACTTCAGCAGCAACGGCAAGTACCTAGCCACCTGTGCAGATGACCGCACAGTACGCATCTGGAGCACCAAGGACTTCCTGCAGCGGGAGCACCGCAGCATGAGAGCCAATGTAGAGCTGGACCACGCCACCCTGGTGCGCTTCAGCCCTGACTGCAGGTGGGGCAGGATGGAGCCTCAGGGTTGCCCACCAAAGCTCAGCCCCTGTATTTGGCCTTCCCATATCTGGGAGGGGAAATAAGGATAGAGAGATCCTGGGTGGTCTCCCTCAGGGTGACAGAAAGAGAACAAAGTAGCTGGATGTGGTAGCACATACCTCTGTGGTCCCAGCTACTTGGGAGGCAATTGAGGGAGGATCAAGGTCCAAGGCTGACCTGGGCCAAAGTACAAGGTATTTTTCAGATAGATCTGAAATGTAACGCAAAAGGGCTGGGGTGTGGCTCCAGTGGAAGAGCCAGTTCAAAAAGACAGATGGACAGACACCAGATAGCCTGGGGCTTTCTGGGGGACTGCCTTTCATATACATAGTAAAGAAGCAGAGTAGGGCTGAGAAGGTGGCTCAGTGGTAGAGTGCTTGCCTCGCATGCATGAGGCCCTGGGTTCGATTCCTCAGCACCACATAAGCAAAAAGGAAAAAAGCCGGAAGTGGCCCTGTGGCTCAAGTGGTAGAGCGCTAGCCTTGAGCTGAAGAGCTGAGGGACAGCGCCCAGGCCAAGAGTTCAGGCCCCACGACCGGAACAAAAAACATAAAGAAGCAGAGTAAAAATTGCTTCTACGAAAAGTGCTGGTGCTTGGCTTCCAAATGAAGTAGGAAGCCCTCGTGGTTTCTTGACTTCTGGTAACTATGGGAGTCAGCAGAGTTTTGAGTCCTCCCTTTGAACCAAGGGGTTCCGTTATAAGGCTAGATTGTGGGACGTGAGGAGGAATTTGGCATAGGCCCTAGAACACACAGGCCAAATGGGGTCATGACCTGTCTGCTGCCCATCCCTAGAGCCTTTGTGGTTTGGCTGGCCAACGGGGACACCCTACGTGTCTTCAAGATGACCAAGCGGGAAGATGGAGGCTTTACCTTCACTGCCACGCCCGATGACTTCCCTAAGAAGCACAAGGCTCCTGTCATCAACATTG